AAAAGCTTGTGTATTGAAATCTCCGTGTCCGAGAGATGAGATGATAAGAAGAGGAGAAGAAGAAAAGTGAAAGGGACCAAGAGGCAACTTGCTCCCCACCCCAATAGTTACTTACGAATAATAGCATTATAGACGAATAGGGGGTAGAAATAGATGTGAAAATAAATACCACTTCTCTCGGGAACTCTTTTTCTTTCGCGGCCCCCGGACGCGCCGCGAAGGTTCATTAAATACAGACATACGGGGGGAGACATGTAACGAAAGGAAATATATTACGTTCAAAATTAGCACAGACTGAGGAATTAAGGAGAAAAGAGAAACATGCAATATAAAAATAATAATAACAATCATAATAATGAGAAGAAATGAATAAATAACGTGTATAATAAAGTGATATTCTATTTTTATTTTCTTTGTTACTCTTTACATGAACGATGTATAAGAGGTGGGTAAAAAGAGCATGTGGCTCTATCTAACTAACGCTAAAACCATGTCAATACAATTGACACATAAGTGTGCACTTAGAACACATACACAGAACACGAAAGACACGAAAATTGAATGGCATTAGACGAACCTCAGCGAGGGAAAGTCTCACCCGAACATATGCATGAGCAAAAGTAGTAGCATGTAAATATACGTACTAATATTTAAATTGAGTTAACATTTCAGAGCGCATTGGAAAATCCACATGTAAAAGGAAATACAAAACTCTAACGACAACGGGAGAGTTACGCGTGTGGTTTTCTCTCAAAGTGCGGTATATATATATATATGTATGTGTGTGTGCATGTGTGTATTTACATATTTATATATATATGGATGCGTGTGTACGCGATGCAAAAAAAAATGACAAGTGTGGAATATGGAAGGGAAATAATAAAAAGATGAAAATACTGTTTTTGAAAAATTATATTTTTTTTTTTTTTTTTTTTTTTTCGTTTTATTTAAAAACCCAAGCAACCCCCCCCCTACGCTCGGGGGTAGAAAAAAAAAAAAAAAAAAAATATGTAAGTACATAAGTAAATATTAAATTAGATAATAAGCAATAAATGGTAATTGAATAATTATTAATGAAAGTAAGTCCCACAAGGGCATATTTTACAATTTATTATGTAAGAGGGAAGAGCCCAAACACGAACAATATGTGTAATAACACAATTATAAGCTTGCGGAAAACTAATCAAAGCCTGTAAAAGGAAAATTAACAGGGATGTTCATAGGAATACCTCATTAATTTTTCTTATATGATTGCTATACATAACAACACAAACAACATGATACAGACACTAATTAAACAATTATTCCCGAGGTTGCACAGAAAAAAAAAACGTTGTCGAGGGCGAAAACGAAGCGGCCTCGGACGTGTCACGTACAGTATGGAACATACTACGTGGGATGGGTCTCAGCTATTAGTATTAGGAAGGAGCACAAGTGGGGGAAGAGAGAGCATAGAAAGGCTCGCAGCAGTGGCCACAGGGCTCTTGAACGTCGGGACTAGAAGGAGGATAGTCGCAATAAGTAACTCGGGACCGCAAAGCACCTTCCCTCAAGGAATATAGCAATAAAGAGATTGATTGAGTTTAACTGCCGCGTTGTTATTAAGCACCCCGAACCTTTAGAATCCTACGTAACAATTAATACACATTATTTTTTGGCACTTTACTGAAATAATATATACATTAATTTACTTAATTGGGATGTATAATTTTTGTATAGTTTCATAGAAAAGTAAAAAAGAAATTTGTACGATTCATTAAGTT